GGGGGGGCCCCCGAAATGGAGGTGGGGCTGGGGGCCGTCCTGGCTCTGCTGGGGCTGTCCGCTGTCCTCTTCCTGGCCAACTGCCTGCCCTGCACTCTGAGAGACCGGAGGGGGGCCAAGGGCCAGCGGAGGGGGGAGGGGGGGGTGGAGGCGGGGCCAACGGGTGACCACGGGGATCCCGGGAGGGGGGGGGGGGGGGGGGGGGGGGGGTGGGGGGGGGGGGGGATCTGACACAGGAGGAGGAGAGAGAGGCCAGAGTCCAGGGAGAGGAGATTTTCTGCTGAGTCAGGAGGAAAAAAGCTGAGCGGACTATTTTCTTAACTGCTTTTCTCCATTTTTGAATGCCGGGAATCGGAAGGACGGTCCCAAGAAGCTCTGGTCAGTCTGAGGGACCCAGCGGGCTTTCAGTTTTATTCAAAGTGATTCCAGAAGTCTGTCATCTCTCAAAAAAGGAAAAGATTACACTTATTGAGTCATTACACCGAGAACTCTGGGTTTTCCCTTCACCCTCCAAATGTTTTCTTTTATAAACCTGACAAAGCGAAATTGGTACAGATATCCATCACAAGAAAAAAAGGCTAAAAGACAAAGAAGGAGACCTTAACATCGAAGTTAAATAGATAAAAATGAGGAAGATGAAGTCAGATCTTAAGAATCCCTGCTCCACTTCAACTCTCAGGGCAACATGTGTGTAAACCAGCCTTCTTAATTTCACCATCCGGTTGAAGTTTCATCTCATTTTTACCCTGATCCCCCAATTCTGATGGACGCCAGACCCCAGGCTGTGCTGTTGGAGGGATTTCTGATGGGAACTCTGGCCGTTATGGATGTTATCAGGGATAATCGTGGAAAGGGAAAGTTGTGTGGTTGTTTTTAAGATAAGTAAAGGATGCTCTGCCTGCCGTTCTGCTTTAAAAACTCAGGAACCACCAGCAGACCTGCAGTCCAAGAGCAAAGAGCTGGTTTAGGAATGATATTCTAGCACTAAATTCCCCAAAAGTCCCCAAAAAATTAAAAGAAAACTAATTTAATGATGGATTTTCTATTTCAGAGTGAAAATGAAACATTGGCCTGTTTTTGTTTTGTTTTCCTCCTTTGGCCTAATGCTTAATTTTTCAAAATAAAAAGTGACATGGTGATGAACACTAACTTTTGTGGTTTACTGAAGACAATCCAGGGCACTAGCATTGTTGTTTGACAGCTACAGAAAAACAGTTTCCTGCACATTTTAAGGCTTAAAATTGTCACGTCTAAAGTTTCTTATGACCGGCTGCTATTCCCTGATGCACACATCTTTTCTAAAAAAAGCACTATTGACTTACTCTGTTCAAGGTTTCCAGGCGTTTTCCTTTATTGGGTTAACAGTCGCTGCACATTTTTCACATAAAATTTTAAAAAAGTTTGGAAAAAGACACCTTTCATTTTTCAAAACAGGTTTCCTTGCAAGTGAGTGGTTGTGGCTGAACCATCGTCTTTGCTTTAGTCCACTAAAATAGCCATTAGAGGTTTAAGACTCGGACAGCCGGGCGTACACGATTTCGTGCGATTTCTGCCCCTTTTTGACACGATTTTTCACTTCTTGGATCGAGTTTCAGCTCCCTGGTGCGTCTCACATGGTGTCGTACACACAGAGTGAGGAGCAGCCATTAACCCGTCTCCACCTCCAGATCCACGATCGTCCGGTCGGATTAAAACCAAACCGGTTTGAGTTCCTGGACAGCCCTGGTGAGGGAATCGTGTTATTAAGAACGTCTACGACCCGACTCCCCTCCACCTCTGGCTCTGTGCTAACACAGTGGAAGTGACTCTGAGGATCGGGGCAGCTGGAATAAAACAACGGAAGCACATTGTGGAGCTCTGGCCAGCATCATCAGAACCCAAATATAGGAGAGAAAAGTCTGGGGTAGATTGCTGCACCATTAAAGTTCCCAGTTACACACAATCGCGCAAATCGCCAAAGTAGCTTTTAGCTGTGGTGACCCTCATGTTGCGTTGTTCGGCTTTATTTCTTCTATTTCAAGTCCGACGTGCGTTTTCGGACGCGCAATGTGAGTGGTCAGATCTCATATGCGACCTTTGACCCCTACTATTTAGTGGTGCAGTTTGAGCTGTAGCTACGAGTTACGATCGGTAATATGGCGCAGTCTTAAGAATCCTACCCTGTGAAAAAGCTCCCGGCTGCCCTCCGGAGGCCGTCCTCCACTCCCTGACCAGACTGAGGGGTTTCTCCTTCTTCTCCCCGGCCGCTCAGCGCCCCCCCGACCCCCCTCTGGCCGGCGGCCCGCAGCCCAGGGCCGACTGCTGGTGCACCTTGAGGTTGCAGATCCAGGCGAAGCGCTTGCCGCAGTGCTGGCAGTGGAAGGGCTTCTCCCCGGTGTGCACGCGCTGGTGCTTCTTCAGGTTGCCGGCCTCGGAGAAGCTGCGGCCGCAGGTGGGGCAGTGGAATGGCCGCTCCCCCGTGTGGACGCGGCGGTGGGCCTCCAGGTTGGACAGGCCGCAGAAGGCCTTGCCGCACAGGCGGCACACGAAGCGCTTGGCCTTGCGCCGCTGGACGGTGGGGGGCGGGGGCCCCCCGGGGGGAGCCGGGGGCCGGCTCCGACCCGCTCCGGGGACGCTCCCGTTCCCGTTCCCGTTCCCGAGGCCGTGCTTCCCCCTCGTGGCTCCTCTCCGGGAAGACGGCGTCCTCACGGGCGTGGACCCAGAAGCCTCTGCTGGACCGGTCACAGAAAAACAGAACCTTGTTGTTGTGATGTGGCGCTATATAAATGAAATTGAATTCATTTTAATTTTGTAATGTCATCGTCTGAACGTGTGTTTGGACCGATTTTGTATTTGGTGATTTTGTGTTGTTTGGTCTTCCTGCCTCAGGACGACAGATGTAAACTAGCAACTATGCTAGAATCAGGCTCATTTACAATCATGTATGAGATTGTTCATTAATGTGCACTGTCCTGATTAAATAAATAAACCTCACAGCAAAGGCAGGATACAGGTATTTGCAAAAAAAACGGCAGGAGAGCATGCATGTTTTTATCCAGTTTTTACTTAAGTCCGATCCCACACGAGCATTAGCTTTAGCATTAGCATCTCCTAACCCACAGGTCTGTGTCCTAACCATTAAGTTGTTATCAGAGTAAATCCCTGTTCAACATGAGTCTGACAACTAAATAAGTTGAATAAATAACTTTAAACTTTAACACATGCTCCGATAGGCCGGGATCGGGATCGGATTGGAAGTCCAAAAAGCTGGATCGGGACATCCCTAGACTGGGGACTGATGCTTCCATACAATTTTCCAGGCCACAAAACCCAGAAGAAAAACTCCTCTGGAGTCTGGAAGCTCTCCACATGGACTGAGTCCAACAAAACTAATCAGAAGGGCCACTTATTCTAATTGTTTAATGTGCTACTCCAAAAAAAACAAGGTTCTGGATTCAACACCATCTATCTTTTTTTAAAAGCTGCTTTGGCTTCTTTAATTATTAGATGTAAGATGATGATGAAATAATTATTAAATACTTTCATTATAACATGTTTAAGCTTTCATTACTTGTCACTCCAGTTGCCAACAACTGTTCAGCTTGTGTTTGTTTACCCACTGTTGGATTGTCAGTAAAACACGGTCAGTCTGTGGGGACAGACGACTGGACGATGAATGTTGTGTTTGTGTGTCATTTGCAGTGATCTGAATGGTCAAGCAGCATATGAGGTATCAAAATATCCCGAAAAACTCAGGAAATACTTTTGAGTTTCTCTGCCGTTGAGACAAAAATTCTGGAAAATGGGGGTAAAAACAAAGAAAAAAAAGAAGCTCAAGAGTAGACAGATGTGTTTCTGTGTTGATTTGCTCTTTGTCCAGAAACTATCTGCAGTTTAAAGAGTTTGGAACATTAGAGAGACTTGTTTCTTTACTTCCCATCAGCGGCTCTCTGTATTTGTCCTAAAGTCCTGGTAAAAGCAGAGAACAGACATCTGTACTTTACCTGAAGGCTCCGAGCGTCCGGCCGCGGATGACCTTTGACCCCTGCCGGGCTTCGCTCCGGGCCGGAGGGCCTTCCGGCTCTGTGGACCGGCCTCCACCACCACGACCTCGTCCTGACCGCAGACCGCTGACCCGTCGGTGGCCAGGGAGCTGGAGGAGGCCCCGGAGGCCGGCGCCGGGTCTCCGTCCGGCGCCCAGCGGCCGAAGAGGGTCTCCAGCTCCAGCAGGGAGCAGTCTGACCGCAGGGGGCTGCCGCCGTCCACTCTCCGGCTCCTCCAGGCCGAGTCGGCGTCCGGCCCGCTCAGCTGGACCGCCAACAGGCTCCGGGAGTCCTCGGACACCATGAAAATCAGCGGAGGCTCTGCAGGCTGGAGAAGGGGAGACGGATTTTAAGCACCTACAATCACGCCATGTTTTCTTTATACACACAAAATCTTCAAAATTAAAATTGTTTAGTGATGGCATTTAACAATGACAATACGTAGAGTTAAAAAAAAGGGTTATATCTCTTTTTGGTTTGAGGAAATTGGAGGAAAATCATATTTCCTAGGTGTCATCTCCATAAAAGTGACGATGTTTATTGTATTGATGGAACACATTTCCTTAAGAAAGAAGGCAAAAGATGAAGGGGAGAAACATTTTTAACACTATCTACATGTTTGTTACAGAAAAGATTATTAGTTATGGACAGACTGCCTAAGTCAAGAGACTAAAAATAAAAAAAAGGAGTGATGTTAGCTTTCTTTACCTCCCAAAATGGAAGCTTTTTTATGCTAAATGGAAAAAACAAACTACATCCAGGACTTCGGCCTGAGTGGAAAAGCTAATAAGTCGCTTAGGACCAAACCTTGAGACAGAAATCCTTTGGTCAGACATTGGGTCAAGCCGTCCTTTTGTGTGCTACAGTCTCCCACAAGTACTGTGTTAGCTTAAATAAAAGCAGATATGCAGGAGGTGGGATACACCATGAAAAACAGTGTGTTGGAGGCTGGAAAGGGCTCATGATTTAATGGAGTTTAAAGGACTGAGAAAACACCAGGACTTCCTCCTTCGCTGGTTGATGGGTCAGTGTGAGACGTCCTCCATGCTCAGGTCCATCTCTGGGTCCCAATCAGGGTCCCAGGTCTGATTATACAACTACACAAACTGTCACACGTCTGTCCCGTGACAAAGGAGTCCAAGAGCTGAATAAAGGTTGAGGAAAGTTCAGAAAAATGGAGAATATCCATTCCGGCAGGATCCGAGGAATCTGTTATGAGCAGAGCGGGCCCTCCCAGGGGTGTTCGTGTCCCCACCTCTCAGATTCTGACCCATTAGGCAGCTCCAGAGTCCACTGGTTCGTAATTAAGAGACTTTGGACTTGTATTTTCCAGGGACGGCCGGGATTGTCAAACTTCAAACAACACCAGAATCCAGAAAACCGGGAGATAAAACTACGTCCCTGTTTATTTATAGGCAAAAACACAGAGTAGAAACTCTATTTTAAGGTTGGACCTGACTGAAATTGATAGTATGCTTTTTCATTTCTATAAAAGAAGTCTGTTAGATAGTGGTCCCTTTCCCAAAGCTCTGGAAATCCCACTGTATGAGAAAACTAGCTATTCGTCAGCGCTTTGTAAAGATCTAGACCTATGAAAAAAAGAATGCTTCTTAATACTCTCAACATATACAAAAAGCTCCCTCATCTGGCTTCTCTTTGTGTGCTCAATAGCATAACCAATGCCTTCAGTTTCATTTATGGGCATGCTAACCACAGGGTCTTCATGCTTTTGTGCCACAGCTCTATAAAATAAACGAGTAATGCTACTCATATTGTGTCACACTTTTGTAGGATTCATAATAAAAACCCGATTCATGTTTGTTTTTGTATAGTTTTATTGATTTACATTAAAACCAGACATGTTTTTACAAAATTGTGACACAATGGAAAAAGGTACCTC